TTCTGGTTTTTGAGCCAGCCTCAAGCTGATGGCGGCAAGCCCATTTTTCCAACATGGTGTGTAAATGTTATGTGAAGCACATACTGAGGTCAGTTGAGTGCATAGACTGTGTGCACACGTGTGAAGTGAAAGGTAAATGTCAGTGAGTTTCCAAGAGTTCTAGTGCATGAAATCTGATAAAGTGGTTCAGGTGGTGTCACAAAAAGCTTTCAAGGCGCATGCCCAGCTAGTTCAGTCGGCAGAGCATGAGACTCTTAATCTCAGGGTTGTGGGTTAGAGCCACATGTTTGGCATAGCTGTTTTAAATCACAATATGCTGGAATAAAGTCTTGAGCAAGGGACCAGGAGCCTTATGTTTTTATAAAGATGTGTGTCATACTGTATGAATGTGCACTGCGCAAAAAAAATATAGAGAGCATTGTTATTCCAAGTATACCACCAAGTAAGTTAAACTTCTGAGATATTGATCTGGTCAGTTAAGTAACATAGGAAGTTGTTAATGAGTTTCAGCTGCTGTTGTATTAATGATATTAACTAGAGGGACGACAATGAGACAACCCCCAAAACAGGAATGGTTTTACAGGTGGAGGCCACTGAAATCCTTCCATCCTCATCTTTTCTTATTTTTTTCAATAGTTTTGCATTTGGCCAGGTAGCACCTGATACCTGGACCCTACAGAGGTTGGACAGGTAGAACAGTATCTGCTGCTTCGTGCAAGGGCGAACAGGATGGTTGGTGTGACCAAGCAATCAGAATCATGAGGGTAACCTGAGGGCCTGACATCCTCTGTGCTAGTCCTCTAGCCCTGTGCTCAGTGCTCATTGGCTTTAGGACAAATTCAGACATATAGGGGTTAACACATTTGTTTGGGAAGTGATAGTTTGCTGATTTAGTTCCAGCCAGAGACACAAATTCCCCTTGGGTTTGTGTCTAACGCCAGGAAAGACATCTGGCATTAAAATCGGCCAAATCAAATTTGCAAAGCTCCATACTTATCAAGGGATATAGTCAGGTAAACATGGAGAATTTAGTTAAGATGCTAAAAAAGCATGTAATTGCTGTAAAATCTGACTTGCTGTGGAAGCTGTTGCTCAGACAGAGCAATCCTTAGCTCCCCTTGTCTGCAGGTACAAGTGTCTCAGAAGGTTATAAAATGTTAGCTGAAGGCCATGAGTTTGAAAACCAGGAGATTTTCTTTTAGAAAAACAAATTAATTCATGTAACAAACTGTAAACATGCCTCTTTTGTTTTCCTGGTGAAAAAATGGACATTTTAAAATTGTAGTCTGTAGAAATTTGCTTGTTCAGTCAGCCTCAAGTGGCCACTGGAGGGACTGCAGTTATTGACTTCTTTTTTTTTCAGTTCTGGAGTTCAGCATTTGGTCGAACGTGTTCATGGACATCACACGTCCCATGATCAAACTAGCTGATGCTTTTTTTTTATTTTTGGAAATCAGTGTTACATCAAACTAAAGTGAGCAGAAATACAACACAAATTCCCACCACAAGCGCCCTTCTTGACTACCATCTGACCTGTTCATACGTCATAACCTTTCCGTATTATGCAAAGCCTGACAAAATGTGCGATGATTCAAAAGTGCTGTTTAATTATCAGCTATTTTGTACAGTTGACTGCAACACTCAGTTATTTTCACTCAGTCTATTTAGAAGAAAGTCTAACTCACCCGGTAGCCAGCTGAGTAACACCTTGTGTGTTTGTGTGTGTCATGCACTGCCCCCCAAAAAGCGTTTGACCTCTGAAACATTATGCAAGCTGCCTCCCACTCAGCATGCACACAAACAAGCGTGTGATTCATTCCACATGCATCACATACGTGCTCCTCGTCCTACAAATCAGAGATGAAATTAAGCAGCCAGATTACACGCTCGCGGGTTTGGCCCCAGGTCATGTCCTCGGTTCATATAAATAGCCGCGGGCACAGAGAGACAGTTTTTGCGGTATATGCCCTCTTTAGGAGGATGACACAGCATCAGTGTTGCTCACTTTTATTTATCCTTAACAGAACAGCTTTTCAAGTGAAACATATCACTCAGAATCAAAGATTGCCTTTACTGGATGATTAGTGATGCACTATAGTCCCTTGAAATGTGGAAGCAATGGCACGGATTTCAGTTAGAAAGATATTTGAAATGAAAGTGACGGAAAATAGATATGAGCCAAAGCAATTGAAAAAGACGGAGGAGACAAGAAGGATGCAAGCTGTGACACTGAGTACGGTAATGGAGCATTCGTGCCTCGAGCAGTTAGCATAATTGTAGTTGATGTTTGGTTTTACTCGTTTCATTTCTTTAAATAAATAGTATCTTTCTTGCAAGTGCCAGAATATAATTTTAACCCACTCAGCAGCCAGCCTGCCAATCAAGCTAATTATTTAAGCCCAGTTTAAGTAGTGTGTGACCTGCTGATTGTAATTACGCATCCGCTGGACTCTGCTGACTCCCTCGCGTGTGTTTGTAGCTGCTGTATTGTTATCCCAGGGGGTGTACATGGGCCCAACGCTGAGATGGCAGAGAGTGATTTTATTCCCAACGACCCCAAACTGCTCACCCAACAAATCAGCGAGGGGAGACTGACTAGCTAGTAGCTCTACAGGGTATCACACTGGTGATACCCTGAAGAAGGCTAATCTGATTTTAGTTTCATAAACTGTGCATCGGATGCTAGCTTCTGTTTCCTGCTGGGAGGTAAATTGAGCCCACTGTGGTCAGGAATGCTTTTCTTTTATCTTTGTTTGACTCTTAATGTCTTGTTTCACGCCCAGCGCAGTCACTCTGGGCTATTGGTCGACACTCCAGTTAGGTTGGCGAGAGACAAGCAAATCAATGTCGTTTGTTTCTATACGGTTCTCTATGTGCTCATGAAGAATGAAGTGCACCCCATAATTCAGTAGAGCCACTTTTAGAAGCAATAAACTGAATTTGTTTCTTTGTGAGGTGACTTTATTATCAGTCAGGAATTCTTGCCTGCTCTTCTTTAGAGCTTTGCTTGAGTTCATTGAGGTTTGTGGGCATTCATTTGTGCACAGCTCTCTTAAGGTCCTGCCACAGCATTTCAATCAGGATGATATCTGGACTAGACCATTGCAACGTCTTGATTCTTTTCTTTTTGCTGCTTTGCTTTGGACCATTGTTTTGTTGCATGGCCCAGCTTCAGCCAAGCTTTAGCTGTCACACAGATGACCTACCATTTGACTCTAGAATAGTTTTTTGTACAGTTGTATAACCCAGGTTGTTAAGTCTTTTTCTAATGGTTCATGAACTTTAACATTTAGCATCCCGAATGACACTGGTAGACTTTCAGATGTAGGCATGGCTAGCTCAGGTGGTAGAGCATTAGACTCTTAATCTCAGGGTTGTGGGTTCAAGCCCCACGTCAGGTGTAGCTGTTTCTTCTGACTTTGTGGTAAGTTCTATTAAGATTGGCCTACTACATACATCTAACAAATATGCTGGAAAAAACTGCTTGAGAGAGTTCACAGTTGCTAATGATCAGTTGACTGCATCTTGTTAGCAGCCCTGATTCATACTAACCCAGTAAGTACGAGCCTGCTGTCTTTCAAATCCCTGTAGCTAACCTTGACTATGAGGAAAAATTTAACATTCTTGATAGTCTGAGAATTTATTTAACAACTTTTATTTTTCCTGTTAATAAATACATGAAATAAATTTTTTTATGTATCTGAATAATTTGCGGCTTTTGTGTCCTGAATGTTTTTAGCAAAGTCTTCCATTCAAATGTTTTGAGGTGCCTCATCATAATGGTTTGTAAAAAATGCATTTGTATTCAGAGTGGTCTTTAAAACGAATGCTTAGAGTGGGAATACAAAACTCAAAGACTGCAGCTAGTTCTTGGCTTCTGCAAAGCCTTGTTGTTTTCAGTCTGCGGCAATACATTTTGCTAAGTAGTGGCAAAATGCAAGTATAATGATACAAGGAGCCATTAAGAAAAACAATTTAGTAGCAGTCATGCTAGCAGCTCTGTGAGCCAATCAGCACTTAGGTTAAGGTCAGTGGGCATGATTTACAAGACTGTAGTGAATTTTTTCAAACATGCACAACCCAAAGTGTAACTGGGGCATTTTGAAATTTGTAAGAATTTGGTCAGTTTAGGATTAAGTCTTTGGGCACCCTCGCATCAGATTTTAAGGTGGTTCATCAACTATTTAAAGCTAAAATGATTGAATCTCATTGCTATTTACATAATCACATGTTCTCTCCAGTATTGTCTTTTTTTTATCTTTTTTTCATCCTTGTTTGTTTGAAATATTGTCATTGTAATTTGTTATTGACAAGTTCAACTTTTTATTGAATCAGTTATCTCTTTAGAATCGGGGCTAATCCCTTATTCCTCTTTGTTAGATTCATTTTTTAAGGATGCAAGAAGCAATAAACCTCAGGCTACAACAACAACTACACCTGCATCACAAAAGCAGATACTTATACAAATACTGATTTTTACACATAATTTTGGTGTAATCGCCCTGTACAGATGATAGCTATGGGACATAAAACACAATCTAAATTAAACCTTATATTCATAGTGGGTTCATTGATATGCAAACTGATAATCTACTCTTAAAATCTAATTCCCAGCCATTAAATTAGACATCTAAATAACTCCGCCTAAGCCTAATCATAATTTTTACAATAAACCAGAGAAATGCTGTAATCAAACTATCACATTTATCTGATTTTTCACAGAAACTTGGAGCTGCATGTAATTTGCATTCTCCCTTTGATGTACTCTAATTATTTAACATTTAGTCAGCCTCTCCATGCTGCATCTTAAGCCCTCAAAGTCTGCTAACCCTGATGCCATTCACTCAGCCAGACTCCTAGAATCGATTGAAAAAAATGAATTACTGCTTTTAAAGTCAAGAGCAGCAACCGCTGCCCATGAAAAAACAACAGGCAGCTTATTATTATTTACATCACCTGGCAGCACGGTAATCTTTCATGTTCTCTCTCAATTCTTCCAGACTACGCCTGGCCCCTCCCCAGTGCTCTGTGTCCGATCTGGATCTACCTGGACGTGCTGTTCTCCACTGCCTCCATCATGCACCTCTGCGCCATCTCCCTCGACCGATACGTCGCCATCCGCAACCCTATAGAGCATAGCCGCTTCAACTCTAGAACCAAAGCCATGATGAAGATCGCTGCAGTGTGGACCATATCTATAGGTCAGCATTTGCATGTTAATACATAAAGGTAGATTTGGCTCCTTTTCCACAGGCACTGTTAGATTCCTAATTAAAAATATTTCAGTTGGTTAGAAGTGTAAGTGATGGCGTAATTATACATAATTGTGCTGTTTATATATATATATATATATAAGAGGTGGAGGCCACTTGACAACATGAATATCACAAATACTCCAATTTCAGCCAACAAAACTGCTGCACAGGCTTTAGGATGGACTGTTAGTTAAATTACCCGTGCAAATTATCACATTAAGACTGCTCCAAAAGGCACCAACATCACAGAAGTGGTCAGATCTAATGAGTAGCTGGCTAACAGACAGCTGGTTAGCAGACAGCTACTGGTTTAGCAAATTAGTGTAAAAGATACACGTAACTACCATGACATCATCCATTATTATTATCTCTCCACTCCGCTACATACTCCATATGTACAGAGTGGAGAGATAGTCTCTCACTCAGAGAACCAAGGTTACAATGTAACCGTACAGTTTGTGAAGCCATGTTTTGAAGCCTCGACACGGTTGTTTTCACCGTCACCATCTTGGTTTTAAAAAAAATGGAAGTGATGAGGACAAGAGTGAAACGGCTTGCTCACTGGTTAATGTCATGTAAACCACAAGTCATTGTTTAGTGAGCGCACCACTTCCTTTTTGAAACATAGTCTCCAACTCAGATTAACAAAATACACTTATATTTTTTACTTCCTATGACCAAAGATTTGTGGCTCAGCACATAAACTCAGCAGCAAACTGTTTACAGAGGCTTGGACAGCAAGTGGTTTTGCCAAAGACTTGTGAAGGACTGGACATCTATGTACCAAGTCTTCCACCATACAGCCTTTTTTTTCAGGCTAAACTATATAAACAGGACAGAGCAAATCTTTTATTTGAATGAACTGTTATGTAAATGTGCCGCCATAAGGGACGGCCAGAGTTTTATGACTTTACGACTTTGTTAACAACTCGTGACAAAGCGCTTACAGACCAACATCTTTGACTCATCCCACCATGTTGATTGGTGTTGTTAATCAAGAAAAACATGAAGTATATGAGGCTGTTACTGTAGCAAAACAATTTGTCTGTGTGAGCATGTGCAATCAGATTTGTAAATGTGTTAAGAAATCTGTAAGTGTGCACAGTGATAATGGTTGAAAAGTCTAAAAATCTTTGTTGACGCACTAAGAACACAGACAAGTCATCAGTTAGAGCTCCTGGTTTAGATTCCATGATCTAAACCAGGGGTCCCCAATCCCAGTCCACGAGGGCCGGTGTCCCTGCAGGTTTTAGATGTGTCCTTGATCCATCACAGCTGATTTAAATGGAGAAATTGCCTCCTCAACATGTCTTGAACTTCTCCAGAGGCCTGGTAATGAACTAATCATGTGATTCAGGTGTGTTGACCCAGGGTGAGATCTAAAACCTGCAGGACACCGGCCCTCGTGGACTGGGATTGGGGACCCCTGATCTAAACCTTTCTGGATATTATCTGTGAGTTAATTAGTCTCTGAACACGTTCTGCTTTTGCGCTGGGGTTGTTTCTCTTTTTTTCTTTAATTCAGTGAACTGGCCTTTCATCTTCACACATCTATAAATGAGCACAATGAAGAAAATACATTCTACCTTTGTGTCGTTTTGTGGTCAACTGCAAGACTGGATTTTTATATTGCACCCCTGTTAATTTAGCCGACCCCTACAGGTACACATGGAGAGTTTCGAGACTGATGACTGTTGTTAAATTTAATGACTTTTCAGAATCCCCCTCGCAGTGTCTCCAAAGGTCCTATCAGTGCCCCTCCTGACTTTATGAAGCAGTGGGAACCCTCTCAGTTTGTTGACGCTCAAAGCGTCTGGCTGTGTGTTGTTACAGTTGGAAGTGATTTGCATCACAGACTTTTTACTCCCCAAAGGTGATCGCAGCACTTTTCTTATTTGATTTTGTTAGAAGCTAGGATGAAAATATGCGAATAAATTAATTTTGTCATCTTGAAATGTAATTGTTGTTGGTAGCCAGAAGATATGCCGTGGAGTTATTGACACTTCATATATATATATAGACACTGCAAGTCAACATTCATATGTGGATTCCTAAAAGATGACTTTAAATGTTTTACCACAAGGATTTTAGAGGGAATTGTGGCTTTGCTGGAGTAAAAGCAGTCATCTCATATAATCTTATGATTTTTATTTTATTTTTCGTTGTTATTTTAAAGGGACAGTACACCCCCAAAAAACAATTCGACATATTTTTTCCTCTTGCTTTTATAATGTTCATAAATAGGTGTAGATATGATTCTCTTGCCAAATTTTGAATCAGGAAAAATTCATCTCAGCAACAATTTCTCTTTAAGAAATCACAACCCGGTTTCATTTAAAAGCTGCTTCCTCTCTGCTGAACTGCACCTGCAGCTGGGTAACATTACAGCTCAGCCAAGGGTGTTTAAATCTTCTCATGCTGTCGCAAGCAAGAGCTTCCCACCACACATACTTCTCAACCCACTGTCTCCCTACTGGGAGTCAAATACTGACATTTTGTAAAAATCACTGGCATCTCGAAATGATGCACAAAACATCCTTTGCCATCTGCGTCATGACGAAACAGGTTTAGGCAATATAAAAGACATGCCTCGCTCCCAACTCTCAATTTTAAACGCACTGGCTAAGGCCTGATTGAGATTCTGCAGTTACATTGTAGGTTAAGGAGTAGATTCGCAGCTGAAGCATAATTCAGGCATATGGCGTCAGTCGCACAGGTGTAGAAACCAGTCAGTAAGTCCCCTATCAGCAAGGAAAATATGTCTCAAGCTAGATTGCTTTGGTTACTGTCAGCTTGCTGCGGTTGCCCGTGGTTTGGATATAAATGGAAATTGTTTGCCTTCAAAGTAAAGAAGAGCTGCTTGCAAAAGCAGCTTAGGGTGGGGGGAAAGGAGGGTTACTTTCCAGTCTTCCGTGACTGAAACTTTAGCAACTGCTTTCCAACAGGAACCGCTCACTATCAGTCCCACTTTTCTTTAGAGATCGTTCTTTGCCAGGAGGTTGCAGACTAGTCTCTGGTACCTGCGCTCTCAGCAGTGGTATAAATGGCACAGAGCTGTTGGGATGTCACCGTCTTACATGCAAAGCAACCAGTGTGGCAGATTAGGACAGATCAGGGATTGAAACAGTGACCTTCCGGTTACAGATACGCTTCCCAAACCCCCTGAGCCACAGGGGGCGTGTGTTGCACAGAGGAAAGTATGACCTCCCTGTGAGGAAAGTGATGAGGGATCAAATGACTTTTAAAACTTTTCCCTCAACCCTCCCTCGCTCTGTCTGACCTCCGGCTCCTGTTGATGTTGTTCTGAGCCCTTTAACACCCACGAGGGCTTCAGGTCTTGACACACACATACAAGGGTGAAAGTGCGTACCGCTACTGTATGTCCTCGACCCCCAAAGCAGCTATGCAAAGTCACTGCATGCGTGCATAAACTCCACCTGGGCATCGATTGTTGCTGCATTTAAAGTCACGGTGTCACAGAACAAAATCCACAGGCTATCAGGTTTCCTGTGTGGGGATTTAATACGTGTTTCACTAAGAAATAAGTGAATCAAAAAGCGTCTAATGAAGGGCAAAGGTTTGTTATCTTTTGGTTGGATGCAATTAAATGTTCGGTCGTGTCCTAATGATGAAACATTTTATTAAAGGTTAAAGCTGTTGAGACTATCAACAGCTAGCCTCGTGTTGACAAATAAGTTGGTTTGTGAGTGCTTAAGGCCAAAAAGTGTGCCAAGCTATGTGCTCACAGTGGCTCGGTCAAAAAGTCCCAAAAGGTAAAACACAAGCTGTATCGATTCCAGGACTCAACTTAGTTATCTGCAATTTTTTCATCTTATCACACACTGATACAAAAAACATGTATTTCTTTGCCCGAGTTGAAGAAAAGAGATCAAACATCATTAAAGTTTTATATAGTGCCTCTTTTCACTTTCTTTATTCTTTTATGCCCTTTTATGTGGAAAACAATCTACTCCTCCTAACCAAAGATGATTGAGTGATCCATCTTAAAAGGGAAAATAGTATTTATGAGTCTTTTAATAGTTTCCTACATAATACATTCTTCCATCAGGTAAAAAGTTGTTTTGCTGACAGGGATTACTTCCTGTGAGCTACATTGACAGACTGAGTTGATTGATGCCTCCAGATAGCAGGTAGGTTTTTACTTTTCTGTCCTTTCTTGCTCTGCACTCATTCGCATCCGGCTTTAAATCAGAAGAAATTGCTCTTTTCCTGCTGGCATTTCCTTGACCCCTCAAGAGGTTCTGCACCACAATGTTCAGCTGTGATTGAGGTCTGAGAGGGCTTACAGAGATCAATGCTAAAGGATTAACAAAGAAACACCCAAACAGAAGATGTTTTCTGCTTCTTGTTGACTTTTTACTTTCTAGCATTCGTGTATCTTCCGGCTTTTTTCCCGCTGTCCATTAGAGCTAATGTGTGTCCTCTCAAGTATCTGTGTGAACACAACCGTTTTCTCATTGGTGACAAATTAAAAATGCAGAGCAGGCGGTTTGCATGAATGACCTCAGTCTGTTTTGGTCCGAACTGACAGCTGTTACATATTTAGATGCACTTGTACTGCTCAAAGGTTTGAGGCTAATTTCTATAAACTGATGTCATCTGGAGCATAAGGACAACATTTTGGGTACTGGGAGCTCTATGTTCTCTTTTTGTAGTCTAAAATGTGCTGACCCATCATGTTAAAGCAGCTAGTTGCAGTCTGAGTGATGACCAAAAGATGGAATACATTTACTGAAATGCAGTCATATTCTGGTGACGGCTTAGTGACCACTAAATGGGACTCTGAGTCTTGGCCCAAATATTTGATGGCTACATTGAAACACTGACCCCAGAGATCATCAGACTGAATTCAGTGAGTTTTGTGAGATTTGTTCATCTTTCTGGCATTTAGTTGTTTAGGAAGGGTGGGGACGGCGGGGGGGTTA